TCTCCTTGCTAACCAGTTGTCCCATCGTCGTATTTGCTTCGTTTGCCGTCAATTTAAATGCTTGTCTTTTATTATTCTCATCAAAAACTATTGATGTATTGCTTGATTTAAATTTTTTACATTCAGATGACAATTGAACAGGCGATAATGTTGATGATGTATGAATGAATACGAGTTGTTCATTAGTTGGTGATGTAGTCGCTGTCGTTGTCGTCGCCGTTAAGAGTGAGGGTGATGAATATTGAATAACTTTTCTTTCGCTATCGTCATTATCGTTGAGTATGATATCAATTTCTTTTACATTGGACAAATGAGACAGAAAAATGCTACTTCGCTCTGTTGAAGTATTCAATGGTGATATTGATGATGATGATAATAATAATAATGGCTCTTGTTTTGTAGGTCGTTGATCATTACAATATAATTTAGTAGAATTAATTTTTGTCGAAGGAGAATGTCTACGTTGTTTATGATGTAACGTAGATTTTTTACCAATACAATTACCCATCGTATTAAATTCTCGCAATAGCTAAAGAGAAAAAAAAAATCAAAAGAATCAAATATGAAATGTCTTATTTCAACTGTCAGATTGGAAACCTCAATATTTCAATGAAAAAAAAACAAAAATGAAAATTACACCGATATAATATATATATACTCTCATGTGTGTTGAATACATGCAGGCATGCATGAAAATTGTATGGCCTCACTCTCTCATGCTTTTTTTTTTTTTATTTAAACTAACAATAGTACGATTCGTCTATATTCAATGTCCTTCAATCCCTTCATCCATCACTGTTCATTTAGTAAAACATACTGTTGTTGTTTATGAACGAAATAATCGTCAAGTAAAGAAGTAAATTCTTGCTCATGTACATTTATATAAATGAACTCTCTTTCCTACTCTCCCTCTCTTTTTTTTTCTTGTCTCCTTTCATTTGTCACTGAATCCTTCATATATGTCTCGAGATAGTTCGATTAAACACAAATGTATGGTAGTTTGATAACCTTCGGCCAAGAAGAGAAAAAGCTCTCGTCTTCTTCTTCTTCTCTATGATATGTATATATATATGATAATGATTGATATCATTTCATTGTGTCAGATGAATATATATTTGTATGGTAAATTAAGACATTATAGTTCAGAGACATGTGCAGATAAAAATAAAATAGCAGGTTATTTCATATGGCTCATATATATATATATATATATATACATAAAGAATTCAAATCGATATTATTACATATGAATAATAGTTATTGCTATATTGAGAATGATGAAACCTCTACAGTATATATATACTATTATTATGTAGAGAAACAAATGGAGTAATCGAAAGTTTTTTTTTATGTGACAAAAAAAAAAATGATTATTACATTAAAGATGCACAAATAAATTTTCGAACATACATACTGTGCTAATGTTCTATGATGATAGAAGTGGTTACTATTATTGGTTCTTCATACATGTGCTTACTTTCACTTTTTTTTTTGTCACAATAGACTCCACAAGCGAGAATGTGTAGCACCTGTTCACCGATAGTTCGAATAATAAAAAAAAAAAAGCCAACATCATGGAAATGTCGATGTGAGAAGGCTATGAATACATTACGATGACTTCGTTTCTTCTTCAATAAAAAAAACGTCCTTGATCGAAATATTGAAAGAAAATTAAACTAAGTGACAGACGTATCTGATTTCTCATGCTCGTTTTTAAATAAAAAAAAAGAAATGAAAGAAAGAAGTTAAAAAAACAAAAGGTGATAAGATGACACCACTTAGTTATTCTAGATGATCGATATATGAAAAGATTTAGAGATGATTCTTCGGTAATTTTAAAAATATTAAATTCTTTTCTTTTTATGAAAGCATCGCCTTCTAATTTATTTCAAAACATAAATCAACATAATTTAATCATTTTCTTTTCTTAATCTTTCTATGCCTGACAATACAATCACTCTTACAATAATCGTCTATACCCTTAAATACCACAAAATGATTCTTTTAATGTCTCATTTCTAGTCGTTTTATGTTTAGCCGCCTTGAACAATCTACAGTGTGTGTTTTGTATGTGCTTGTTTATGTATGATATGAGATTATTGCCTATACTTACTACCAAGCTGACCTAGGGAGAATTTTACATACTAAAGTTTGATGATTACGTATATGCATATATATGTATATATATAGAACATGATGACATCGCACATGTGAGAAAAAAAATGGTGACAGACCTTGGCTAATAGTTAATGATATTGATGAAATTAAATCAATTTTCATTATACTGAACTTGTACTGTTGTGTTTCGATCTCAGTTATATTAAAAAAGATCATATAAATATAATAAGAATATAATGTGTCATTTGGTTAGACATACGTCAGTTAATGATGATTATACAATGTATAGTGAAGATGTTTATATATACATTCTCTATAAATGTACGCTTATTGTACTCTTGACATCTAGTATGCATGCATACAGATGACGAACTACGTCAATCTGGATGTTCTTTTTCTTTTGTTTTTTTATTCAAACTAGAAAAGAAAATGATTACATCATCACTTACTTTATTCAATATACTGTGTGTATTTTATAAAATTATAAAAGAAAAAGGCAAAAGTATTCTAGACAAACAACAGACAAGCAGGATGCAGATAAAGAATAGAAGAATACGAGAAAAAAAAAACGAATCATAATAGGAATACAAGCTGCTGCTCTTCACATTGTGTTAAAAAGAAAACACAAATGATCACATTTTAGAAACAATGATTTTAAAATCAGAGATAGGAAACGAGAGATATTTTCTTGAATGATTGAAAGTAGCATAGTTTAAATCTACATCGGATAAGTTATAAGTAGAAGGAGGATCTTTTACATAAATATCATTTTATGACTACTATTTTATCATCGTAACTTCACTATATACTTATGACTTACTTATGTTTGACGATAATGGTCTCTTGTTGAAAATGTCGTCATGCATACATATTTATTGATCATTGAGTGACTTGTACTATATACAATTTGTCATAACAATGTGAACGCACGAACTGCTCGATAACGAGAAAGCGATTTTTTTCTCTTCTTTATCATTTCTATTGCTCATGCATATGTTATAGGAAAAGAAAAGAGAAAAATGATATTTAGCATATTAGCTTGAATGGATTAATGGTTGTGTGATGACAATCTTGATCAAAGCAGCATATGTAACTGTTACTTGAAGTATCTTTTTACATACTATATTAGACTATATATATGTGTGTGTGTATATTGAGTAAATATACTCATACATCTGTTCTTGCCGATAGTGATAAAGCGATGCATGACATTGATTTTTGCCTAATCATATTTATCAGAAAAATTTTATTAGGCGTTGTCTGTCTTTGAAATGAGTTCAAAGTTATTCACGTGCATGTACACATATGACATTAAGTGGTACTATCAAGGACATGGGTCTGTGCAAATAATCATTTCAACAACTCTTATCTTTTTATGACTATAATTTATGTTAATAATGAAAAAAAAAAAAAAATTTAATAAAGTCAATTTCATTTCACTGAACAGGAGTCAGTTCGAATCTAATATCATTTATTTTCAGAAAAACTCTATTAAAATTTATTTTAATGATCATATCTATTTATAAAATAACAAGCATGAAATGCTTGTTCATCAAATAATATACGATGTAAAAGTAATGATACAAAATGTCAAAGTTTATATTGATTTATAATACATAACGGAAAGAAAATTCTTTTTCAGTCAATCGGAAATTTTTTGCTCTTTCAAATTATATACAATTTGTTTTTGTGATATGCATCCATAACGAATGTGACATGAGAAAGAAGTGAACATGGTCATACAAGAAATCAGTGTTTCTAATAGCACATATACCAAGAAAAATTAAAATGTACACATTACTTTTTGTCAAATAAAAGAACTCTCTATTTCCAAGATACTTGAACTTATTTTCAAATAAAAAAAATGAATCTAACGTACGTTTTTTTTTAGAGAATGTTACTTTGATTTTTCACTTTCTGTTGAAATGTATTATGAAAAAATGAACAATAATATGTCCTTCACTTATAAACTTCTTTTTTTATTATCGAAATGTTTTTTTTTTCAATCAAGAGAAGATGAGTTTTTTTTCCTTTTTTTTTTCAAGGCATTATTTACAAAACTTCTATACTGTACACTTCAATACATGTTACTTTGAAAATATAAACAAAGTGTACAAAAACATTTTATTCTACATTCTTTTTAGAAGCGCTGCAAAAAATTTGCCATTTTTTTTAATTCTGTTTTTAGAGACTTTTTTAAAATATTAAACTATTTTTTTTTTACGAAACAAATACTTAAGACAAAAGAATGCTAAAAAATAATAACTAAATATTTCAAGCATAAGTGAATAAAATTTTCACCAATTAGTAGTCGTCCAAATTAAAACCTATTGATAATCATATCCATTGAAGAACACCAATTCACATAAGAAAATATTGCAAATGTTTAATAATGAATTATAAATGTGAAGAAATCGTTCGTTTCGAGATATTTGTTATTTTTTGTTAAAAGAACAAATGAATTTCTGTTTTACAAGATTTTTCTTATAAATTTCTTGTATAAACATATTTCTTCTTTCTCATTATTCTATCAGCTAGTAACAAATAATCGTTTCAAACATAGATTCATAGATGAGATATAGTAGTAAGCATTCGATTATATTATTTTACATCGTACGTTATATAATTGGAAGTATTCAATATCGATTGATCGGATCAGAAAGATTCTATTTTCAATTAGTATTCAACGTTGAAAATCAGGATGTCGCTCTCTTTCGCTTATGCATGTTTCTTTTCAACGTTCTTTCTATTGATTAGTCAATTCAACAAATCTGTTATACTTCTGCTTGTTTGCCTCACTCTATTCAGTTTTCTACTTTTTGAGTGGCAACAGCCTTTTTCAAACGTTTCACAAATTAATCTATTGATCATAATTGAAGAAAATGTCTGGAAAAAAAGGCAAAGGCAAAGGAGCGTCTGCTGAAGGTGATTCATCTGAGGCATCAGGTGGTAGTAGTAAGGGTGGTACTTCAGTCAAAGTAAAGAAATATTTTTATTAATATTTCAGATCAATTACATTGATTTCAATAGGTTCGACATATTCTTTGTGAAAAACAATCAAAAGCATTGGAAGCATTAGAAAAAATTAATAGTGGAATGAAATTTGATGAAGTTGCACGTACTTATTCGGAAGATAAAGCTCGACATGGAGTAAGAAATAAGTGTTCAAGTCATTTTCAATAGCTACATTTGCTTATACACTATAGGGTGATCTTGGCTGGATGACACGTGGATCAATGGTAGGTGAATTTCAAGATGCAGCTTTTGCTCTTCCTGTTAGCACATTAGCTAAACCTGTGATATCACCACTTGTTAAAACAAAATTTGGTTATCATATAATAATGGTTGAAGGCAAAAAATAAATCATGTTTATAAAAAAAATAAAATAAAATAAAAGCATTTTCTGAAATAAAACTACATCTTTCTTATGTGCACATTTTATTCTAGATATGAAATAAGAAGAAAAAAACGAATGTGGGATGCCAGTACGATATCGTCGAAAGCGTATTTTGATTATATTCGTTATATCAATTATTATTATTATTTATTTAACTAAAAATCATTCAGAACATCATATAAATGATGGAGATGATTTGCCTCATATAGAATTAAAAAGAAATGCAAAACGATTTGTTGAGAACTTAATTCATAGAACAACAACTTCTCAACTTCAATTCCGAACAGTACGAGAAGAAATTGTTGAAATTGATGGAAAAAAATTAAGAAAAATTGATTGGCATGATTATGAATTGATTGATCGTGAAAATGCTCGAAAAGGTATTATTTCATTATTTATTGATTAGTTAATATTTTTTTATTTTACTTTCAATTATTAGGATTAGGTGAAGGAGGTATAGGAGTTGAACCAAGTGTACAAGAACGTAATAGTCCACAATTTAAACAACTTTATGGAGAAAATGGTTTTAATGCTTTTATATCAAATAATATTTCACTTGATCGTTCAGTTAAAGATATTCGTCATCCTGCGTAACATATATTTTATTTATTTATTTTTTTAATATATTTTTATTCTTTTATAGTTGTAAAGATAGATTGTATTTAGCTGAATTATCTAGTGTAGGTTATATGATATAGGACTTATTTTTAAAATATTATTTATTTTGTTAATAGGTTAGTATTATTATTCCTATTCATGATGAACATTTAAGAACACTACTTCGATCAGTACATAGTATATTGAATCGAACACCAGCAAAACTTCTAGAAGAAATTATTCTTGTAGATGATGCAAGTGGCAAAGGTAAATGTATACTGATCAAGAAAATTACGTTGTAAATAAATCTCTTTTAATAATATAGAGGAATTGAAAGCTGCACTTGATGCTCATATTGCTAATCTAACGAAGACACGTATAATTCGTCTTCGTAAACGTGAAGGTCTTATTCGTACAAGATTAGCAGGTGCACGTGAAGCAAAAGGTGAAATACTTATTTTCTTTGATTCACATATCGAAGTTAATATTAATTGGTTACCACCATTAATCGAACCGATTGTATTAAATTATAAAACAAGTGTTTGTCCATTTATTGATATTATTAAATGGGAAAATTTTGCTTATATTGCTCAAGATGAAGGTTAGAAAATTTTGTTCCATTTTTGTCAAAAAGAAGAAAAATCATCTTTCTATTTTCAGGTGCTCGTGGTGCTTTTGATTGGAGTATGTTTTATAAACGATTACCTCTATTACCTGAGCATGCACAAAATCCAATAGAACCATTCGAGTAACACATTGAAATTCTTAATTTTTTTTTGTTTTCTCGAATGTACTTCTTTCTAGCAATCCAGTCATGGCTGGTGGTCTTTTTGCAATTAGTAAAAAATGGTTTTGGGAATTAGGTGGTTATGATGAAGGTCTTGATGTATGGGGTGGTGAACAATATGAAATGTCATTTAAAATTTGGCAATGTGGTGGACGACTTGTTGATGCACCATGTTCAAGAGTTGGTCATATTTATAGACAATTTAATCCACATGGTGGTTTTTCATTTGGTGATTATTTATCTCGAGTAAGTATAAATGAATGACAATATAAAGTTTATTACAAGAATTTTGTGGCACAGAATCATAAACGAGTAGCAATGGTTTGGATGGATGAATATGCTGAATATGTTTACCAACGAAATGGACATATGAGGTAGAATAATATTTATAGGATGATTTGATCTATCATTTATTTAGAAATATAAAGCCAGGTAGTGTGGCAAAACAACTTCAACTACGTGAAAAATTAAATTGTAAACCATTTAAATGGTATAAGTTTTATTTATTTGTTTTGTTATTTCAATGATGAATTGATGGTTGTTTGTTTTTTTTATATGATAGGTTTATGGAAAATGTTGCATTTGATTTGCCTAAATATTATCCACCTGTTCCTTTACCTCCATTTGCTATGGGAGAAGTAAAGAATATATAGTTTCTTGATCGGTTCTAATTGATTTTTGCTATTTGTTTAGATTCGAAGTATGAACAATTCTCTATGTATTGATACGAAACATGGTCGTGAACATGCAACATTTGGTCTTGATCTATGTCTATCAGATCATAGAGGTCGAAGTGGTGAACAAGTAAAATAAATAATAGATTAAGATGATTTTTTTGTAAAATACAAACTAAAAGAAATATTGAAGTATCGAGAATAGAAATTTACACCATCCCCTTTCCACAAACTGTAATATAAGAAGAGTAAAGAAATCTGTTTCAAAATATATAGAATAAAACAATATCCTTGTGATTAGCAAGAGCAGTAACATCCTGTTTCACATTTTTTATTTCGTAGGATTTGCACTTCTTCTATTCCATATGAATTATTCTATTTTTTTTTCTAGGATTTTGAGCTTAGTTGGCGCCAAGATATTCGACCGAAAGGTCGTGAATTTTGTTTTGATGTACCTAACAGAAGCAAGCGTACACCTGTGGTGCTATTTACTTGTCATGGTAATACTAAAATTAATTTTTATTTATTTAATATAAGTTTTTCGTTGTATATATATATATCAATAGGTATGCGTGGTAACCAACATTTTGTATATGATGTCACCAAATATCATATTATACATGTATCAACAAATTTGTGTTTGGATTGTGATTTAGAAAGTAAACAAATTTTCATGGAACAATGTGATACGAAGAGTAACACTCAACGATGGATTTTTTCTTCTTATAACGAAACATTAATTCTCAAAGATATGAAACAATTTTTTTGACGATAGAAAATATTTTTATAATAATTCTGTGATACATTTTATTATTTGTTGAGTTTTCTTTTTTGAATGACACACGTATAAATTTGTCATATTACGCAAATATAGGACTAGTAAAATAAAATTTTATTTCATTAAAAAAAATGTGGAAATCTCGGATTTATATCCGAGAGTTATGTGTACTTCAAAAAGTGAATCAGACGAATTAGCCATCCTAGAATGTGTAAACATCAAAATTATACTGGAGAACCTACCCTCTAAACTGTTGATTTCTATAGGGTATTGTCAAACCGATAGGACTTGGGACTGGATACAGCTCAAATTTGAACTCTTCCCCTTGATTTACCCTAAGAAAGTCGTTTTTACTATAACTTGATTTCTATTAGTTACTGCACAACCAATAGTATTTCGATGGAAGCGGAATGCAGATTCGAGTTCTCCATCTCAGAAAACCTCGAAGTATCATCTCTGTGATCGGAAGATAGAGCTCTATTTGTGGATCAATTAGAGCGTGCACAAAAACAGAACCGATTCTTCCCTATTTATCTTTGCGATGGGTGAGATAATCTTCCTGTTTCCTCATGTTTTATATATCATTTTTTAGCTCTTGAAATTCTCTATCGAATGATATATAATAGTTGGGGTTTTAATTGACTATGATAGGAAAAGTCTTTTACGAAAGCGGCGATGGGTCGATTTTTCCATAGGAAGCTATACGGAAAAATGGGTATTTTTGCAATAACTCAGGAACGGCTCGGCCGATCCTTCTCATCTTCGAACTCGACCGAGATATTGTAAAGATTGAACTGTATAGAAAATTTCATCGTGATCGGACTCTACTTTCGAAAGTTATCGTGTAAACGGCCGGCCGGACGGACATACTGACCGATTCTAGAGTGTACTCACTTTTTGAGTACACAAAAAAAAGGATACATGTACGCATGATAGAAAATGGCCATCAATAATTTGCACTAGATATAATATGATGGATGTTATATGGCTGAACGATAACAAATCGAATTCATGAACAAGCATTGCATACAAAGTATGCATATTTATTGTTATATATATATATCCATTTCTAAACGAATAAGCGCGAACGAGAGAAACGTTCACCTCTAGCTGCAATATTGTTTTTCCTTATTCTATACATCGCCATTGTTGCTGATATTCAATATATATAAGTACACATCGTCATTCTTTTTTCGTTCAACAAAAGTTCATCCATATTCTTTTCTCTCTGTCTCACTGTGTCGTTAAACGAAACTTGCATCAGTCAGTTTGAACGTGTGTGACCTGAACAATCATGACAAGATTTCTTCTTGTCAAATCAGATGTTTATGAATTAGGAGAAATTATTGGACAAGGTGCTTATGGGTAAGTATTTAGTAAATATCAAAATAAAATCTTAACTATATAATTTGTTTTTCTTATAGATGTGTATTTAAAAGTCGAAATGTAACTACCAATGAAACTGTTGCTATTAAAAAGATGAGTATTTTACGTACTCGTGATGGTTTACCGCCTACTGTAATTCGTGAAGCAGCTCTATTGAAACGTGTAGATAAAGTTGATAATGATAATTTAATTAAGTACGTGTGTTTTAATATTTTATTTTATTTTTTTGTAAATATTCATTCGTTTTTATAGATTAAAAGAAGTATTCACTGAACAACCAAGCGTTGAGCGACAAAATATTTATTTTATTTTTGAATATGTTGAACGTGATCTTGAACGTTATCTTAAAATGCATAGTCCTTTAGATATTAATCAAATTCGAGTTTGTAATTTTCTTTTGATTAAATTAATTCTTATTATTGTGTTATATAGAATTTTACTCAACAATTATTAACAGCTGTATCAGTTCTTCATAATCATTCTATTTTTCATCGTGATATTAAACCTCAAAATATTCTTATTACTAATAATGGTTGGTTCGACAAAAACAAATAGTTGAATGAATGAAAAAATAAATTTATGTGCTATTTTTTTTATAGGCATATTAAAATTAGCTGATTTTGGTCTTGCTCGAGAATATCATGAACATAAAGTATTTACCACTGTGGTAAGTTATTCGATCTTTTTATATGTCAATCTGTCTAAATCTATATATGAAAATTTAGGTTGTAACTATGTGGTATCGAGCACCAGAAATTCTTTTGGCATCACCATATTGTACATCAGCTGATATGTGGAGTGTTGGATGTATTCTTGGTGAAATGGCATTAGGTCGACCATTATTTGTTGCTAAATCAGAGAGTCGTCAATTACGACGTATTATTCTGTAAGATAGGACTTGCTTGCAGGGGCAAGTATATGTGGAAATAAATTTTCTACAATGTTTTAGTTTAATGGGTCTACCAAATGAAGATGAATGGCCACAAGATTCTCCGCTTAGAAGAGAAGCTTTTGAAAATTATTCTCAACCGATTATAACACTCGAGCGGCTAATTCGTTTTCAAGATAGTTGTGCCATTGAATTACTTCGAGTAAGTGATTTTTATTCTTCTATTAATATATTTGAAATATTCATTTATATTGTATTAAACATTAGTCATTACTATCATTCAAACAAAGCCTTCGTCCAACAGCTATTCGAGCTCTTGAACATAATTTTTTTCGTCGAATTGATCATACCTCATGTACAGTAACATGGTCTTCAACTGATATAGCCGAAGCAACAGCTGCTGTACCTAATCTAGATGCATATACAGATGGCGATTTTATTTTTAATAGTGATGATGATCAAAAAATTGAAAATATTCGTTCAAGAAACAATTCTATGGATGTTGGCTATTATTATCAATCGTGGTCATCTTCTGATGATGGTCAACATATGTTGACAATAGATAGTCATAGAAGTAGTGTTGCAAGTGATGTACCTCAATCACCTATTGATATTGTTTCCTGGTGGTCGGATAGTCCCCATAAAGAAAATTTATAAAAAGAAATCTTTTTTTTTTTCTGTATAGTTATTTTTTTCTTTGAAATATATAGCATAATATGTTAGAGCAATTATGATTATTAGTGTCAACAATAAAGCGTTAAACTTAGAATTATCTGATCATTTATTATTATTTGAGAATTAAAAGAAATGACCGTCATTTATTCACTTTCATGAATATTCATTGTTTATTTTCAATTTCTTATTCGATTATTTTTTCTCTATCTGGAATAAAAACATGAAAAAATAGATGTTTGAATTTATTGAATAAGATATTTTTGAAATGCTTTTTGTTTCTTGTATGAAATAATTCATTTAGATTAGTTTTATCGACAATATAATTTTCATTGGTACTTCATGTTGTAATGATGATGAAAAAACTAAACTATTATCTTATCGGCAAAACTTCACATAACTTTCTTTCTATACTCAAACTAATCATTCGTTGTTCCTCCAGTTAAAAGAAAACATATATTAACACGAAAAGAAATAACGTTGAAACTATATAGATACTACGTGAATCAATAGTGTAAGGCAAGATGCAAGTTAAAGCTGTTTGTCGTTTACTTAATAGTCGAAATAAATGAATCGATTGAATACTAATCTATTTCTTTCTTCTAAAAAATATTGCCAGTAATATCTTTTATTTTTAGTATTGCTTTGATCTGTATAAGAATTTTATTTAAACAAAGAAACACATTCTTTTTGTTTTGTTTTCTATTAGTCTTTTATAAAGAAGTCTATGTTACTTTTGGTATAGAACTGTATATTGAAGAATATTCTATGTAAATAAAATTGCAAATAATTTAGAATTATTATCTATATAGAAAAATAGAATGCATTGAACATATTTTCCATGTGACATGTCTAGTACAGATTACATTGTTGAAGAAAATACTTGATCATTTCATTGAAATTTTTCATAAATTTCGTTTTCAACATATTCTTTTCTTGTTTTCACTTAAGATTAAAATCAATTGAATGCTTTTGCATTTTGATTTTAACAATTATTTGCATGGAACAAAAGATTTCGTTTACAGGTTTCTCTTTTGATTAATCGTGTCTCGAGAGAAACCATCAGGATGTCGTTTGTCATCCAATATATTATAGAAAGAACAATAAGTTTTTCATTATTTGATCAAAGTGTACTGCTTTTCGTTGTTTATGTACACAATGTTGCTTTGAATGTTGTTTTCTAGAATAGAATTTGTTTTGCATGAAAATATTTCATAAAAAATTCTTAAAACTCATTTCAGTTGAAGTCATTAGTCAACTTAAAATAATTATAATTTTCTTCTCTTAATAAGAGAGAATCATGTATTCATTGTATTTTTGAATTTAAATTAAAAATAACTACAAAGAATTTACAAAAAATATTCACTGATCTATTTTTCAATATTTTCAACTTTCTCACATTTACTATCATGCATCTTAACTTCGATTGAAATTGATTGTTTAATATTATTATTATTATTATATTATAGCGTTTATCTTAGTTGATCATACTTAGACTCGTACGTTAAATGTTTATAGATTATGTGCATTATTGCATTGTTTTTGTGATTTATACATTAGTTCTTTGTGCTTGGTACAAACAACATACTTTTTACATTAGTATTTGATGATAGATCATCATCGTCATTTATACATAATCGATTAAGATTGTATTGTGTATAATCTATTGCTTTTGTTGAAATACATCTAAAAGTATTGATAACCTACAGGTTAAGATAAATGATAATCGTTTTATTTTCTGATGATCAAGGTATTCCATGAGATCGGTTATTCTACAAAAATCATATAGAAATCTAGTTGATAAATTTAACCGTATGATTTTATAGTACACATGAAAATCAGATGTGTACGAGATTTTCATCACGATCCAATCGGATTTTGATAGCTGTTTATCGATAGAATTTAATAAAATACTGTAGAAGCTTAGACGATATGATAAAGTCAAAGAGTTTGATTGTTCGAACGCGACTCTGTATGTCTAAAGTCTCAGATGAAGTTGAATCTAGTGTGACTGTGATATGATCGACTAATTTCAGCGAAAGTCTAGAAGCTAGTTGCCTAAAAATTCGATAACTCTATAAAAAATAGATGTAAACAGTTTTCATGCAAAAACTGTAAATACTTAAACACTCGAATATACTAATCTAGACTCGTAATGGAGAGCTCATATTTTGAATCTGTTAGTTTTGTCTGTGAGCCTAATAATTTGACCAGAACATATGATCAAACTTTTTCACTGATAATTCAAAAAGTTTCATTTTGCGTAAGACGATCTGAATGATTCTGAACACGATGTAGAAAACAAGAACAAGTTTTATTTAATTGTTAGGCTAGATTATTATTCTATTTTCAATTTTTTGCTTTTACTCATGCTAACTACAAATTCTTTGATTATAATAAATGTGTGTGTAACATTCAATAACGAAACACTTTTTTATCTATAACCATTGATTTTTTAGATGTGTCATTGTTGAAATCAAAATACAAGATTTATTAATTTGTCATGTATAAAAAGAACATATTGTAAATTTAACTTTCTAAAATCAAAAGAATTTTCTCATGTATATATTTCCAGCCACGCAATTATCAAAAAACATCATAGAAATTATGAGGCAATATCTAGTTTACACGTAAATCTAATCTTGTAAAATAATTTTTAAATTGTTCATACAAATATAGAAGATGAGAAAAACTACGAATTATCTAATGTTTGGTTTTATGAGATATTGAATATAGAATACTAATAGAAACTTTATATGAATCATAAACTTTGTTAAATGTTTAATTTTCATTAAAGAAAAGTAACAATGCAAAAGGACTACTTTCAAAGTAATCTGTTTTACTTTAAAAACAACTCGATGCACTACGCTTGATTGAGAAACAATATCTATGTCATTTATTTATATTTAGCAGCTGGCAAAGACTATATAAGTTGATATTAATCTGTTTTCTATAATGGCAAAGAACAGCAATTCTAGCAGAATCTAAAACAATACGTTTTTTTTACCCTTGTTTTGTACTATAGTAACGCAAACGTGTACATGTTCGTCTCGTAAGAAAAATGTATCCAAATGTAGAAAAGAATAAAACAACAAAGTAATGTTTTCCGAGAGAAAATAGAATAAATTATATTTATTGTTTTTTCGTTAAAAAAAAGTAGATATCATCAGCTTGATAACAAAATATTATTTTTATTGATTAAGCAAAGTGTTATGTGTACAATTTGCTGTTCTATGAAAAAGATTAAACATTCTATTTATCGCAAATAGTAGATGTTCTGTATATTTTACTTCTGCTTGACATACGTGATATTAAAAATACCGACAAAAGATTACTGTATAATATATTACGAAATTTCGAAGTCATTTTTATTTCAATCTTATCAGTTACTGACTATGTGTAAACATTATTAATTGATAATGATGCTGCTGTAACGATAATATTTTTATCTGAATTTAATTTTACATAAGTCTTTTTTTTATATTGCATTAATACAAGGTAAATAATGTTATAGAAAATGTGCAGACAAAACAACTATAGATATCTTTTATAGTTATAAATATAAAGATCATGACTTTTCGAGGCGGTTTTTGTATTATTCCGAAGACACAATCATAGAGTATAACTTCTGAAAATGAAACCTATTTTACAGTATTCACGTAAGAATTATATAACATTAACTACTATTACAGTGTGTAACATGATGCAATTGCAGAAGAAAAAAGTTAATGTAATTGTGACGAATTGAAGTACAAGAAAGGCTTTTATAATGTTTTTATTTTGAAATTACATCGCTCAAATTGTATTATTCTATTCGAAAGATTCTGTCAGTTACCTCAAAGAATCATTTTGTATTTTACAACATTCTCTAAACAAGGGTCAAATATGTTGACAGAAAATAAATAATGTTTGAATAGAATTTATTAATTAATTGTAAAATGAAAATACTATTAATCAAGTATCTACTTTCAAATTTATTATTATTATCATTTATTTTTTATAAAATCTACATAGGCAAAATTTTCGTTACTATACTTCAATTAAACATCTATTTTCTAACTATGTCATTTCTGTAGAAAAAAATATAGCCTGTTGTTATTGTTTTCATTTATTCAAACATGAATCAAGAGATCTGTTGTCATGATAATTAAAAACTTTAGTTTTATTGTGTATTTATTTGGCGAAATTGGCTTAATTTTTACTCAGTTGCTAAAAGAAAAAGCATATAGAAGTTTTTATTAACTTAACTACTTAAAATATAAGCTATTTCTACGGTTTGACGTGAAATGAATGTTTCGTTTTTAATTGATGTACTTTTCTTTTATTGGTTTTAGAAAATACATATAAAAAGGAAAAAAAAATCAGACAATAAATGTCTTTAAACAGCAGTAGAACCCATTCGTGCAAAATTAGCGCTAAAAAAGACTCCACGTGTCGAAAAAGTATCAATTTGTTTTGGCGTAGGAAAGACAGTAAGTCTATCATAAGTACCAGGACCAGGTACATTATCCGGTTTTTTAAAAAATCGATCGGTACCACTACGAAATGAGGATGTAATTATTGAAGGATTCGCATTGATCACATTCATTTGAGGTTCATAATCACCAGGTGCTGGACCAAGTTTCTAGATTAACAATAAATAATATATTATGTCTTTTAGTGCATCAATCGATGTAGCAATATAAACAAGCTTACCGGAAGAAATACTTTTCGTCTAGTTTTTGATTTGAAAGCACTATGTCTAAAAGAAATAGAATAGAAAAAAAAACAAGAACAATTGATCAATGATAAATCAACAATATTATGAATCTAACTTGGCTGCTTCAATAGGAGCACTGATTGTTTGATAATTCTGTGTTTCGTATAGGCCAGGTGCAACATCAATATCCTATAAGAAAAAAATTAATTTAATTCATTCATAAAAAAAAATTCGTCTTTTTGTTCTGAGGCACTTTTTCGTCTTCAGTGCAAAGTATATCACTTGTACGGCCTTTTTAAAAGTAGGTTATGAATAAAAAAAAGAAAGTACTAAAATTCATTCGAAAAAAAAATACCTTATCATGATTAGCAACCATCGATTTCCGTAATGATTCTTCTCGTTCTGGGCCTTTAAAACCATATGTTATCCGAAGTTGACGCATACTAAAAATAAGATTTAAATATCCAATCAATTATCATCATGATATAAGTAATTAACCTACTGTTCTACAAAGTCTTCGACCGAATAGGCACCAGGCAATAAGTCTTTGCCTTTGGGTTCTAGAGGTTGTGGATCTCGTCGACGTCCATCACTTTTGAAACCATATGTCATAGGACGTGCAAGAACTTCTTTGACAAATGTATTCAAATGAGTATCATATGTACCAGGATTTGGTGTATCCTATAGGAAACAAATTTGAAATTAAGAAATAAAATAAAATGTCATTTTAACTATACTTTAATTGTAACACGCCACCAACTTTCACGACCAGATGCTGGAGCCGCATAAGTATATGTTCTATTCATTCGATGTGATCTTCTGGCACTAACTGTAAGATCAGGACGAAAAGATGGCTGACGAGAACCAACTCGTCGTTTTCCTGTTGTTGTTGCTGTTGTTGGTTTTGATCCAATTTCATGACCATTTTCTGAAAATTGTGAGCCACGACCATTTTGCTCTAATAATCCTGGTGATGATGCAGCGTCTTGCATTGTGTCTTCAATGAAAGTATAGTAAATAATACATGAACAATCGAAATTCCAATATGTTGTTGTGCTTCGGCACCACTTTAATTGTTGTTTTCTCTAACGACAGCAATGCTGAAGGCAACTACTGTGCATGGTCGTTCTTCGTAATCGTCACACGCGCACATATGAGAAGAAAAAAGAATATTGAAAAAAAAAAAGTAATGTAATTATGAAGCACAGAAAAAGAATAAGAAAAGAACATGTTTCAATAATACACAAGAAAAAAAAATCGAACGACATGGAATGATGATTGATAGACACCATCTAGAATATGTAAGATGGGAAAATTAGTTAAATTAAACTGAAATATTATAAAGAAATAAAATGTCCTCGAAAATGAGGTAATACTTGAAACAGAAATGTTTGTGTCGAACATGTCAACAAACAAAATATAGACAAAAAAAAATATTTTTTCGTCAAGTGACAAAACAAGTTGAAGAGCATGTGATTTCGATCATTACAAAATCAATGATGAACAAGCATGCATATCCATACATACATAAATATATGCACATTTTATTCTATATGCGAATTTTATTAATGAACAATCAGATGAGTCAACAAGTAATAATATTCGATTTTTTTTTGATTGCATAGCCTATTCACGTAGTCAAGTCTTCAGAGAACAGACAATTGTCTTGAGTAATGAAATTCTTTTACTATCACACAATCAACAATAATAATGCAAAGCAAGATAATTATTTGAACGAAACAAACAAAAAAGTATATAATAATTTATTAAATGATTATCTTGTTTGTTTTTTTATTCTTTAAAGTTTATACAATTAGATATATGTCGATGTTTGTTTCAATGGTATCATAAGTTACCGTAAAATTAAATAAAAAAACAAACGAAAGAAAATGAACAATAAATAGGTTTTTTAAAACATCGAAATAGAAATAACAAAATCACAAGAAACAATTCTAAAAAACTAATTCATCATAAATTCTTCATTTTGATAGAATAGAGCATATAGACAAGATGAATGTCTACGATTGTATAAGATGCCTCATATGATTGTATGAAAAACAGACGATGTCGGCAGCACACTGTTAAAAAAGAAACAGATAGTTGTCTTTCTTTTTCTTATTTTCATTGACGATGACAACGTTTGTTTCTCAAGCAGGTAGTTAGAGTAAACAGGGGGTCTATCGTCTTTTGAAGATCACAAGTGCCTCATGATGCAAGCAACGGAAGCCTTCGTGTTATTCTTAAATTAACTTTTAAATATTTTGAAACAAGCATAAAATTTCATACTGTGACTAATGTAATCAGATAGCTTGATGTATATATCTATATGGATATTATTGAGTACCTATCATTATACATAAACAAACCAATGAAGATCACTCGAAAACAATCAATTGGATTGTTCTTTTGACTACAAAGACGAATTTTTTTTTTCATCTCATATGAAATGAATTTCATTAAGAAAAAGTGAATAAAAAAAAATTTTTGTTTTTTTTTTTTTTGATAAATTATTTTTAACTGAAATAAGTAAAGAGAAAAAAAAGAAGAATTTAAAAAAAAAAAAAGAATTTCTTTGCAAAATATATGATCTGCTTGATTGAATGTAGCGAAAAATTTTGATACGATCAAATTTAGTGAAACATGATGCAATGTGTATGTGTTGCTGTGTGCTTGATTGAAATCTTTAGCACACCACTTGTCATATCTTCTTACGTCTGTTGATGGTGTTACTGTTGCTGCATAAATTTAAATTTGAGCTAAGTCTGATCTCATAAACACTCTGTAAAAAATAAAAAAAAAAACGATTCTGATCAGGCGCATCTAATCTTTTAACAAGTTTTACTCATCTTCTGATGTTTATAAATATTTTCGAAAATTGGAAAAAAAAAATTTAATCAAATGGAAAAGTGTTATTTAATTCAACGTACTTTTTTTCTCATTGAAACACCACACCTGTTCGCCTGTTTTGGTTATTGTTGTTTTATTCGTTAAAAAGAAAAAAAAAACAATTATCATTAATATCATCGATTAGTTTGTCCTTTCATTCATCTAGTATATAAGAAAGATAAGACCTAGCATGTGCAATACGAAATGTGAACATTAATCGGATTCTAGTATATGACTCTAAGGAGTCATAAAAATGATGATTTTCCATATACTGTCTGTCATGAAAACAACTTATGTATCATAATCGTTCGTAGAAGATGACTTTTCTTTCAGATAAGCGTAAAAAAATTCATTCGACACCCTCTAGGTTTTTTGCTCTCTTTCTCTCTCTCTCTTTCTATCTCTTTCTCCTTCTAATCATATATGTTGATTTGCTCTTTTACACATACGCACATACTAATGACTATTGTCGGTTTTTGGTCTCCCCTTTTTTCTTTTGCTTGTCATCGAAAAACAGAAAGAAGAATTCCCTAGTCTAGTTGATTTCTCCAAAGATATAAGAAAGATAGAAAGACGCTATGGAATAGCGTCTGATTGAGTGGAACAACGATCACACGTCGTATTTCCTCCTCGCTCTCTCTCTCTCTCTTTTATATACCCTGGGTCTCTTCTTATATCATCATATACAAAAGATGACGAAGCGAACAAAAAGTTGGTCTTTGCGCGTGTTGTTGATGAAAAATGAGTTGGTAGCAAGAATGCTGATCATGATCATTTTCTTGGCACCAATCGAGGATTGGCTTGTCTTTCATCGCTTTTTTCTCATTGGCTCATAGCGTAGCGCAAAAAGACACTGAGAGAAAGGAAGGAAAACATAACTTGTTTCTAGTTAGAAGAAAAAAAAAAGCGACGACAACGACGAGAAAAGGATTTTCTCCACATCATTTTGACCTTTTCACGCTCTTGCCGTTTTTTCTGCTTCTCTCTCTCTCTGTTTCTCTTCTTGCGATCTACGAGGAAAAACAGATTAATCGTTTCATTTTACAAATTCCCTCGTCTTTCTTCTTTGGTGCGGCGCGCAAGGTCTCGTAGGAGAGCTCGCGTACGCTCTCTCTCTCAAGTCGACAGTCTTCCCATTGGTACCCATGGTCTCTCGGTAGGAATAAAAGAAGAAACAGAATAACATTATCTGTCACACGAGCAGACTAAATAAGAACGTAAAGTATTGTATTGAAAATTCGTTTAGTTTTTATTTTCTAATAAATTAAATAGAAATTTTTCAAAGATCTATAGATAATTTGTTCTATAGATATTTGAAACTTCAGATGTCAAGATTTGATTTCAAAGAAAAATACGAGTTCCCTCGAGTGAAGTATCATAGATATCTATGGTTTATTATTGATTTATTTTATTTCATATCCCTATTGGTCAATTTTAGATCGAAATAGATTTTATTGGATATTATTACACATTAGATATAAAGATAAAAATATCGAAACTATTCGTCGTTTATTAATTAAACGGTGGCGCGACGTGACATAAATAATCGTCAAAGACGAATTGGTGCTTCTACTGGAATTGACTTTTGTTCTCAACCATCGAATCCATACGGTAAGTAATCTGTCTCAATGGACCAACAGAAAAAAAAAACAGAAGAAAATGTTCGATGTCTAGATGTTTATCTCATGAGACATTTACCTGGTTATAATATTTTCTCTCGATTCTAGTTATAGACATACAACTATGTTGAATATTATAGAATAGAAAAAGAAAAAGAAAAGTTAAGATTCTCTTGAGATACCTGTATTTTTCTTGTTCATAGATCCGTTTATGCAACCTCGTGGGGCACCATCTAACTTTGGTAGTCTCAAAGAAGAACCCTTGAGAGCTTCGTGGCCAGCAATGCTTGTCGATCCTAGTTGGTATGTATTGGTTTCATACATATTTATGATAAAAAAAAACAAAAGTTGTTTTTCGAGAACTATTTATTAATTCGAATTTTTTTTTTCTTTTTCTACTTTTTATAGTTATCTTTATTCAACTATCGGTGTTGCTTCGGCACATTTTGAAAAGCAACCACCAAATAATTTACGTAAAAGTAATTTTTTTCATTTTACTGTGGCACTCTATGATCGAAGTGGTAAACCAATTGAAATTGAACGTACAGCATTTGTTGGTTTTGTTGAAAAAGAAATGGTAAGTAAATGAAGGTCATTTTAGAAATCTATAATGCACATGATATTCATGTATGGATAGACAACAGTACCGCCTACAAATGTCTATTGACCAGATGTTATGCATGTATATGTGAGAGCAAAAAGAGCAAAGTATTGTGCTATTAACATAATTTTTGCTATTTATACGCCTACATTAATGTAACGGGACACTTACAGAATATAGGCATCGTTGATACAAACTAATTTTATTAAAATCTATAAGTTTACTTTATTGTTATTAATTATACTATGAAAAAAGAGAAAACAATTATTATTCATTTTTTATGTAGTTTGAAAAATTTATGATTCTTGTTAGTTCTCGAACATTCTTATACTATCTCATAAATATAATTAGTACAGTTTTGAGAATTAACATTAATTTCAAACATAATCATATTCATATAGAAGACAAAGAATCATTGTATTATTATGATGAACATCTGAAATTTGAACTTTATTTTTCTACTTTAGTTTTTTATATGTAAAAATGATTATGATTATCACTTGCTATTATCATATTTCCTTTTCCATATGTGTATGGCTACACATAAAACAGGCAGCGATTGTAATCACGCGATAGTTTTTTTTTTTTTTTTTGTGGCAAGATGTTCGCTTTTTTACGCGTCACAGTTCTATACTCATCAACAAGTTATTTTTTTTTAATGTTATATACATCTTTTCTGTTTTCTTATGATCATTCAACCGTCTACAAAACTTGCACAGCTGTAATTGAGAACTGTCAGAATAGAGAGACCGCACATCCATGAACATATGTCACTATTTTTGTACTCTTTTTTTTTTGTTCTATTCGGTTAGGAACCCGATGGTTTACGTACGAATAACGGTATTCATTACCGTCTCAATTTGTATTATCCAGCACGTAAGAGAAT